TCCGACACTACATACTCTAGGTGTATTTGGTCGTACCTAAATAGTCCTAGCGAACTGCCCATGCCAACCAGATTGCGGACAGCTGAGGCGGTGGCTGGGAGTCGAGGAAGACTCCTGTTGTCGTTTGTCCTTTCGCTCGTGTTTCGTGTTTCGCTTTGTTGGTCGTGGACCACTGCTGTGTTCTGACAGCTTTGCCGCTTTACTTCAATGACTTTCCCATGCCACTTTTCAACTTTTCGTTCTTGCAAGCAAGGGTATCTTTTTACAAGATACATCAACCCAAAGGAAGTGTGCGGGGAAGTTATGAATCCGCGAACTCTGCCATCGCATTCACCAGGAAGCTCTTCTTCTACTTTTCTCTGAGTAGAGCATCCATTGAAACTGCCATTTGAAAGCAAGGGCACTGCAGTCTGGTCCCCGTCGTCTCCTTTGGTCAAGCCTGAAGCTCAGCTACCGTATCTATACTCTTTTAGTTTGTTCATTATTTTCAAGATTCAAGATGGTTACCCGCAGCAAATCCCCCAAGCCCAACGACAATGCCGTCAAGAACGAGTCGAATCCCTTGAGATCGGACCCCGAGTTGTGTGGGTTACTCAAGCGTCTCGATAAGATTAAGAAATACAAGACGTTCAATCGCTGGAAAACAAAGTTTCTGAACCGCCTGGATGGTCTGATTTATCAAAAAGGAATGGATCCGGCCGAACGAACGACGGAAGCTTTTAACAAACTCGTCAAAAAGACGGTCGTGGCGGCGTCCAAAGTGACCAATCACATTGAAAAGGGAGAATTGAGCAGCGAAAAGAAAACCGTCAAGGCATCATTGTCATTGAGCGAATTGTCCAACAACTTGACGACCACGGTCGAAAAATTAGAGGAACTCATCCCTTCCACGGGCAAAGATGAAAAAAAGCTGGGGTACACCAAGTATCATTTGGGTGCAGTGCTGATCCGACAGGGCTTTCATCAATACATTACCCTCAAGGCCATTGAAGATGCCCTCACGGGAATTGCCGAAAAGGTGGCCGATGTGGCCGATCGCCAACAATTGGAGCTCTTTGAGTACTACAAGACCAAGTTCCAGAGATTCTGTGATATCATGGCCGATTTGAACATGTACGAAATCATGATGAAGTGTGTCGAGTTCCAAGAAGCACCCGATCCAGAAGAATCCTCCGATGAAGAGCCCATCATGATTGAACTTGCCGTCGAAGGACCCGATGGGAAAACGCAAATCATCAAATTAGAAGTGGATCCCAGTGACACGCTTGGGAGTATCAAGGAGAGTATTGCCGATGATATTGGCATTCCAGTCGACAAGCAAATTGTCAAGTTCAAGGGAAAGGAATTGCCAGACAACAACATGACTGTAGGCAAGGCAGGACTCCAGGATGGATCCAAACTCACGGTGGAACCACTCAAGATACCCATCACGGTCAAGACGTATGATGGAAAGACCATTAAACTCATGGTGGATCCAGCGACTTACTTGAGCGACATTAAGCGAAAGGTAGAACCCGAATCCGGTGTTCCAGCTCAAAATCAACGGCTCTTTCTCGATAAGAAAGAACTGGACAATGACAACCAACGAGCCGACGATGCCGGGATCAAAGCCAACACGGTCCTCTACATGGAACCCAAAAGCATCAAACTCAATGTCGAAATGCCCGATGGAAGCAAAGTCGAAGTGGAGGTCTCACCCTCGGATACTACCGATGATCTCAAACAAAAAATTGAAGAGGAGACGGGTATGAAGGTACCGGAACAAATCTTGAAACAAAACGGCAAGGATTTGCCAGCGGGCAAAAAGTTGAAAGATCTAGGAATCAAAGATGGTGATGACGTGCAGGTAGCCATCAACAAGGTCCCTGTCAAGGTGCAAACCAAAGACGGAAAAACGGTCGAAATCATGGTTGCCCCCGACGATACGTTGGCGGATATCAAGAAACAACTGGAAGCTGAAACGGGCCTGCCGTTTGATCAGCAAGAATTGACCATGAATGGCAAACCCCTCACGGGCGACAAGAAAACGGCGCGAGATATGGGTATCAAGGCGGGGACGACACTCAAGTTGGATGCCAAGGCGATAACCATCACAGTGGAACTCACGGATGGAACCAAGCATGTCGTGAAATTGGACGCCCTGGACTCCAAGTCGGCCATTGAGAAGTCCATTGGCAAGACAGGGTTGGCCAAATTCTTGACAATCAACTCGGGAACGCTGGAACTGGACACGAACAAAATTTTCGGAAAAAAGTGAAACCTGTACAAGAATTGGGTGAGGTTTTGTCTCTCTAATAAGAATGTACCTTGCGGATACATGGATAAAAATAAATCTTGAATGATTCGATGTTGACTAAGAGGGAATCAATTTACTGCGATTTTGCTATAGCCAGTCATCAATATCAAACGCCCTGAGGCACTACTAGCAGTCCCGCTCCCTGGTGGATCGTGATGAATCTTTTGTGGTTGTTGCTTTGGGTGCTTGCGTTGGTTTTCCGATTTTGACGCAAGAACTATTCAGGGCAGCCTTTTAGCCTTGAAATGCCAAACGCTGCAGGCAGTGCAGGTCACAACACCAAGCCGCTGAATCACTGGTTGGTGAAGACTGTACTGGTTGATGCCTATTGTGATTCGGCCAGGAGCATCTCCAACTCTTCCCATTCCTCCATGTACTCTTCGACCTTAGCTTCCAGCTCTTCCTTTTTCTTGGATAAGTCGACTAGCTTTCCCACGTCACTCCCGTTGGCTAACATTTCTTCGTCCAGAGACGCGATTTCTTCCTCGGTCTTTTCTAGCAGTTCCTCCAACTTTGATATTCTTTTAGGTGCATTGAACAACTTCTTTCGAATTGCTGGATCGACTTCAGCTTTGGCTGGTTGCCCTGTTTCGGTTCCCTCCTTGTCAGTCTCACCCAATGTCGTTCTGACTACTTGCCAGTCGTCGTTTCTCATGCTTCTTTGTTCTAGCTTGAACTTGCCATCTGAGACCGTGGCGACATGAGTGAAACCCACCTTGGAACAGAATTCTTTGTCGTGAGATATCACCACAACAGCCCCATCATCTTTGCCCCAATCGGTCAGGGCGTCGCTGAGTGCCTCCACGCTGAACATTTCAGCATACAAGGATCATCAAAGCTAGGATCAGATCAAAGCAAATCGCACCGAGCCATCCACACTTGCACACGCCTTCTTACCATTCCTGATCCAAATGATTTGACACTTCGTCCAGCAATATGCAGTTTGATGGTTTGATGGAAAAGTTTGACAAAGCAACTCGCGCCTTTTCGCCTCCTGACAGCTCTTTGATTCTGCGCAACGCCTTTTCACCTGTCAGCCCTAACCTACCCATGACACCTCTGGCTTGTTCATCCGAAATAGTGACGTCAAATCCGGTTCGGGCATACTGTGTGACAATGTCAACGGCCCTCGATTCACCATCAAGCTCTTGGGCCAAGTCTTGAGTGAAAACACCCAATTCAAGCTGTGCATTTTTGGTCCGCTCTCCCTCAATCAGAGGCAGTGTTCCTCTCAACGAATGAAGCAATGTGCTTTTCCTTTGAAACAATGCGAATGAGAAACATCGCCAGTTTGAGATGACAAGTTGAATCCATGATAGGGCCCGCACAACGCTTGATACCAAACATACCCTGCTCCATTGGGACCCCGGATAAGCAATTTCATTCCTCTCACAATTTCCAAATTGACCCCTTCCACAAGGGGTTTGTCATTGTCGTATCCAACCGATGCATCGTTGAGAGCCAACAAGGTGTCTCCGATAGCGCGCGGAGGGTCTGGCAAGACCAGTGTCGGTTTGAACCGCTCCGCCACGATTGCTTCATCCGGCTCATCCAACAATCCCTCTCGCCCCATCTTTTCGAGTTGTTTGACTCTGGATTGAGCCGCAGATGCCTTGGTAGCGGATGCTCCCCATTTATCTACAAAGCCTTGCAGTTTGGCTGCCTTTACCTGATTGCGCTCGAATTCTGCCCGCGATGCCAGCGCTCGTTGCTGTTTCAATTCCAAATATTGAGGGTACGTACAGGATTTGTAGACTTGTAGATTGCCAGTGGGTGTAATTTCCGCAATGTGATCCATAGACTCGAGCAACTGTACATCGTGAGTGACCAACAGCATTGTCCCGTCACCATCGTAGGTGGCAAGATAATTGGCCAACCACTTTCTAGCAGCGGCATCCAGATGATTTCCTATGAATAAATGATAATTTCCACCAAAGTGGAGTATACCAGATAGGGATGGTCAGTTCACTCTTCCGGCATGTTTCAGGCTGCATTGTTTGTTTGTTGGTCTCACCTGGTTCGTCCATGAGACAAAGTTTTGGTTCACTTAGCAACAGTTTTGCAAAGGAGACTACCCCACCAAAGACAGAGACAAAAACAAGGCAGTGAGAAACCATTGGATGTATTTCAATAGTATCCCAGCAACGACAACATAATCAAATCGCTGACTAACCTCTCATCTGCCATCCTCCTGACAACTCATCACAGCGTATATCCAAGTCATGAAATCCCAGACCTTTCAAAACCGTGGCAACCTTTTGTTCTTGTGTGTATCCACCGGCTGCTTCAAATAGTGTGTTGGCTCGGTCCAGTTCCTGGAGCAGTTTCTCATTGTCTTGACCATTATCATCATCCGCATTGGCAAGTTGTTGTTGTATACGTTCCAGATAATCCTTGGCCTTCTGCAATTCTACCATTCCAGACGCGGCTTCCTCATAGACTGTCTTGGTGGATCCACTGACGGCAGTTTGCTGGAGATAACCAATATCCCCACCGCCCAGATGAATGTCTCCGTCGTACAGGATTTCTCCCGCCACAGCTTTCAGCAGGGTGGATTTTCCAGACCCATTGCCTCCAATTAATGCCCATTTGGTCCGAGGTTCCACACGCCAATCAATGCTCTTTAATATTTGGGCTGGTCCTCGTGAAATGGCCACATTTTCCAGCAGCAGAGCGGCTCCCCGAGCATAGTCTTCTTGTCGTTTCTTAGTAGTCTTCTTGACGGCAGATTCTTCTTCCGTGGCGGCAGAAGAAGAATAGACGGCCGATGAAAATGTGGGGGTAACTCTTGCGCTAAAAATTGGAGGAGGCAGCGTAAATGCCCCCGTGAAGGCACTTCCAATCCACGTGAAATAGAACAGATAGCAAGCCCGATGGAGCATGATGAACTGTGCGTACTGAAGGGCGTTAGAATGCAACTATCTTCTGCGTTGATAGCAAATGAATCTCCCAGCAATGTGGTGGTACCTTGATGGTGAGAGCCCTTTTCTTTCTTTGAAGTTTGGAAGTTTTTGGGTGGTTGCAGTTTTTTTCCTTCGTGGCATTTTCTTCTTTTTGAAATGACGTCAGTTTTGTTGAGTCGAGTCAAATAAGCCAGAAAGAGCTGTCAAACGTGAGACCTGAGAGGCTGAAACCGTGACAGCGCCGCTGCATCTTACAATCGTTCTCCAACCAAAATCAAAGAGCTGAAGAGGACGGCAGCTGCAGCAACGAAACTCATTCTGGTGCAACTCATAAACTTCTCGGTTCCCGGAGTGGAATCCATAGAAGTCAATTAGCTTGGCTTTTGGGGAGGAATCTCTGAGCTGATGAGCGTCGATCACAGCTGCGTTGTTGCCGGCTGTGACAATCCAGCCAGATCGATGTGCTAAGGAATACTCCTACATTCTCACGGCCACGGCATGACTGCCGACCCCATTGTCACTACGTGGACGCAGGAAATTTTTTTTTCAAATCCCCGTCACACAAACAGAATACAGTTCCAACACCACCAACCGAAAGGACGCCACGGGTTCAAACAGGAAGACTAATTTGTACCCGGCATGTCACTACGCATTTGCTATTCTGTATCTATCTACTCATTTATAGAATGGGGCCATTTTCACCATCCCAATGAACTACCGGTACGGTACAGGTAGAACAAGAATGCTAAGCCTCAGGGCCCGCTTGCCCACGCAAGTGCCTGGTGAACATTGAATCTCCAGGGTCTTCAGCAGAGTCACCTTCATTCATGGACTTCAGTGCATCCAATACAAGGCCCAAGTAGTCGTCTGGATCTTTTCCCACCACGCTGATGTCCACATCATCGTCATCATCATCCAAACTGTCGCCACCGTCAAAGAAATCACCTAGATCAACATCACCACCTCCGCCGCCTCCTCCGCCGCCGCCACCCCCTGAGCCATAGCCATAACCGTTGCCGTTGTTGTTGATTTGGTTGACGTTCAAGACAATCAGTCCACCATCGCCATTGTAGTCCATGCCAGGCAAGTTCTGTGCATTGCCAAAGGCAAACAGCAAGGCTAAGCACAAAAAGGGAAAGTGGAAGGATCGTGTTCCAAGGGCAATCTTCATTGTTGGCTGTCGGTGCGATGAATGTATGGGTTTCTTAAGATTATCTTTTTTTGTGAGCACAGCTTCAACAGTTTTCTTTGTGAGAAAAATACCTCCATGCCCAAGATTCAGACATATAGTACAGCTTTCAAGTATGCATTCCATTGAGGTGTCTTTGCCATCGCGTCTGAGAGAACTACTTGACTCGATTCGATTCTGCATTGCAGCAAATGGTACTCGTACCGTACCTGTACCGAAATCCTCCAACAAGGCCTTGATAACAGGGTAAACCATTCATTCTGCCATTGCGTCCAAGCAAACCATGAATGATTCGATCATTGATTCAATCAATGATCGAATCACAGTCGTGCTTGGGAATAACCGTGATTGTGCAGTAAGCTAAATCGATTTACAAATCTGAAATTGAGGTAAAAATGGATGAATAATGAGTCTTTTAGGGCTTAAAAAATGGTTTGTTTTCAAATATCTTGCATGTGCGGACGGTAATCTAGCCACTACATGTACGCCAAATACGGATCTGCCTCGAATCGAATCCGCCACTGTGGTGTCTCTGCATACCTTTTGGATCTTTGGAGCCCGTTGAAAAAGGTCGAATCCGCCATTTGTTGTAAGCGGTCGTGTCACTGCCGAGGCCAACATGGACCCTTGGACTGCATCCGGGGTACCGGTAGCGTTCTCAGTCAGTCTATCTCTTTGTATGTCCGTGGATAATGGTTGTATCCAAGCAAGTGCACCAGGACGCACGGTTGGTACCAATAGCAAAAGCAAGCAGCAAGCAGCAAGCAGCAACCTGAAGCTTTCTCTTTTCTCACAAATCACAAAAAGAAAAACCAGACAACCAATACAGTCGTACCGTCGCCCAAGCCTTCGCCTTTTCAGCCTGGACTATCAGTATAATTCCAAAAACAAAGCAAAGCCACCCTTTCGACATCCACAGATCCAAACGACCAAAACTAAAAGAACAACATGAAGTTTACTACTTTCATCTTTGCTGTCATTGTTGCTGTCATCCCATCGGCCATTGCAGCCCCTGGTTCCCTTCGCACCCCCAATGCCAACTCTCTGGACACTGCAACCAAACCTTCTGTTCAAGGGGGGCGCCGGTTGAACTGCACTGGCAAGAACAGAAATACTCAGAGGTGCAAGGACCAAGAGGAGGGAGAGAATAATCAAGAAGATGACGAGGATAGACAACAGCAAGAAGAAGATGACAGGGACTCTACGTCCCGACGTTCGAGGCGTTCCAATGGTCGACAGAGGAGGAGGGATGATGATCGTGACAGTCGTCACAGGAGGCGCAGTGGCGGCGATAACGAGCCAAAGAAGAAGAGGCGACGACGCAACGATGACGAGGAACGTGAAGGAAGCGAAGGAGGCTCAACCCCGAACAAGAAAAGTGGAAGCGACAATGGTGGCGGCATGACGAAGGCGCAGGTGCAAAAGGCAGCCAAAAAATACTTAAAACAGGAAGCCAAGAAAGAGGCTGCTAAGAAGAAGAAGGTTCAGGAGATCAAAGAGGAGCTTGGTAAAGCAATTGAGAAGAAAGTTGAAGAGGTTGTGGAGAAGAAGGTAGAGGAGGCTGTCAATAATCAGCTTCAAAGTGGAGTGGACTCTTTGAGAGTTAACGGACATGGAGACCCAACCTCTACAGTTGCCCCTCCAGCACCAGCACAGAGTGCTTCAAGTTTGGCCAACAGTATCGAAAGCAGCAACAATGGCAACAGCATTGGCTTGAATGGCTGCACCTCTGGTACAAATTGTTACGGTGGCACCCCTTCCCAGCCTCAGTCTTATGCTGATAGTTTCAGTGCTGCGTTGAATGGTGATGGAGGCAAATAAGCCACGATGAACGGTTTGATTTCATGATTGACTCAGCCGCTCAGCCTGCAAATGTGGTGTATGATTGAGCAGAGATCTTAAAACTACAACTAGCTAGGGCTGCGGTTCTTAGAATCTATAGCTTGTTCCTTCCTAGCTAGCTTCTGCTTCTGTATACAGCGTAGGTTTGCACCGCCGTCGAGGACAACCATTGACTGCATACTCCGCCCTCTGTGAGCCGCCTGCTGATTGTCACGCTCTCATTGATTCATCGATCGGGTTTGGGCACACCAGCTCACAACGCAAAACCCACAAGCCAACTTCTTGTGCGAGTTCTGGAGCTGTTCTGGGTGGGTGCCCGCACGGGTACAGGTACTATCATAGCTAATTATTCTCTACCTCTGCCCCGTTCCGAAAGCGGGCTCAGCCTCCGTAAACTTGATGCGCGCTCACATTTTAAGGTGTTTACGTCGTCAAGTCATTGAAATCGCAAGTGAGGATCGAGTAACAACACTCCAAAAGAAAAGCAAATCCTATCAGGTTACTTTTCCGGTTACTAATCCGGTTACTTTTCCGGTTACGAATCCGGTTACGATTACTGGTTACTGTATCAGTTTAGTAACATGTAACCGGTAAATCTGGTATCATCCGTAGCTACATATTGCCCGCCCTGATTCTGGCTGGCTGCCGCACTAATATAATAGAAGCTGTCTTCCAGCTTCCAGCATCGCAGATAGAGGTCTCGGACTCTGGAGCCGAAAGCCCGCGTGCGCGGCAACAAATTTCTGTTAACTCTGTCATTGTTTCGGCTTCACAGAAAACACTTTTCAAGGCCCAGGCGACATGGGCTCAACTTATAAGTCTCTGGAGTCCATTTCCACACAAAGTCCATTCTAACCACATATTTTACCCCGATCTTGGTCTATTCAAGTCCTCTTCCAACTAACCATGGGAGTCTACCATTGCGAGCACTGCTTCGAAACATTGTGTGGAGAGACGTTTGGCTGTAAAGTCTGTGGCTTTGCCCAAGTCGATGGAAACGCTTTCTGTGATGGCTGTGATGCTTCATCGCCGTGTGGTAGATGCGAAACGTTCTGCTGTCGCCTTTGTGAAAGCAAGTTTCATGAATGTTGTGGCTTGGTAATTTGTGGATCTGGAAACGTGGAGAACTTCAAATCCAAAGAGGAGATGCGAAAAGAGGACGGCGTCGAACACGACGCCTGTATTTGGGATCACGTAAAAAAGAAGTTAGATTGTGGACACATTGGATGCAACTACAACAAGGAGTACACTTGCCGAACTTGCAGCGTCAAGAAAGCCAAGAAGAACGAAACAGCTGCCATCCAGAAAGATCGCTTGTGGGTGGAAGATTTGCTCAAGAAGAGTGGACCCAAAAGCAGGGCACTCTCTGCCTACCTCCAAGAGTTTCTGAAGGACCCTGAACAAAAGGATCGGGTCAAAGTAAAGCGTGAATTGGAAGAGTTTCAAAAGAAGGCGAATTATTGCAAATGCCAAGCCTATTGGTGATCGGTGGTAAACTCAGAGCAACGAGCATTGAATCGAATCATTGTATTAGTCCTGGAGACATGATTGACTTCCCTACCTCTACGTCTAAATGATCAGAATGTTTCTGTGTTGGACCATCTCCGGTAGATATCACATTCAACCATCACACTACAAATATTGTTTGGCAAGATGGATAACTAATAAGTTTTCTAGTACCACGGTGCCTGCATTTTGCTAGTACATGTACCGTAGTGCACTTCTCACCACCATGTTTCCTTCTAGCTACCGGTAGGCTGACTATGGCAACCTCCACCATCATCGACAATGGGAGTGATTCTGTCTGCTTGGGTGGAGGAGAAGTGGTTGTCGGTTCATTTTGGTCGAAGCTGCAGAGTTGAATCTGTAAAAGGCTTCGGGCGGCATGTCGGCAACAACTTTTGCATAAATGTTTGGCAGTTGACGCGGCGGGAATCCAGTGCCAAACATTGCCGACCAATGCCAACCACAGCAATCGACTGTCTATAGCTCTTCAGTCCGTATCATGCATTCCAGTCAAATGTCCTTTGCCATTGCCTCTGAGAGCCTTTGCTTGAAGTGGTACCAAAAGCTTCTGTTCATGTAATCCATTCAGGTGTGCCATTACGTGCGAGCAGAGAGACTTCGTTCTTGAGGTGGTTGTATGCAAAAGGAGGATCATTTGGATCTTTGTGAAGGTTACCGGGTTTTCGAGTGGGGAGGAAATTTACAAGAGGTCAATCTCTCCATTAAATCAAGTTAGAAATCATATTTTCCTCTAGAAATAAAAATATTTCAGGATATACGGTATAAATATTTCGCTTTTTATGATTTGAAGAAAAAATCACACGGTTTGTGCGGACGCTCTGGTGGGGAGATCGACGCTCCGTCACGCGGGATTGATTCGTTCGCCTTGTCGGCTCACATCCTACAACCTCAGACCTCAGAGATCGAGCGGAGCAACATGTTTTCTCTTTTGGTTGGAGCTCATGAGACGTTCACAAAATCAACAAGCTCACAAACACAAGCAACAAGCTCACAAACAAAGCAAAAAACAAAGGCACAAAAACAAAACAAAACAAAAAACATACCAATCTCATTCCAACAGCCTAACAAACTTCAAAAACAACATGCGTTTTTCCACTGCCATCTTTGCCCTCACTCTTGCTGTGATCCCATCCACCATGGCAGCCCCTGGTTCCCTCCGCACCTCCGGTGATGGTGCACTTGATGGTGCAATCGAAACTCAAGCTGAGCTCTTGTCACCTCAGGGCCAACGACACCTCTTTGGTGATCTTGCTGACCTGGCTAACAAGATTAAGCTGCCTGATGACTCAGAAGAAGACAACAAGGCAGCCAAGAAGAAGAAAGACAAGAAAAGCAAAGAAAATGGAGAGAAAGAAGACTTGGGTCGTCCCGATGGTCGCCCTGATGGGCCTGACAATGGTCGTCCCGTCAAACCCAAACCTTCTGATGGGTTTGACACTGGTCGGCCTTCCGACCCCAAAGACAGCTTTGGTGACTTTGATTGGCGCAGTGGCCGCGACAATGACACAGACAGGAAGAAGAGAAGTCCCAGCAATGACGTGGACCGCTGGTTTCCCAAGGGCCGATGGGAGAGTGACAGTGGAGATGACATAGCCAAGGCAGTCCGTAGGGAGATCCAGAGACAAGCTGAAATGGAGGCCGAGAGGAAGAGTATGATTGAAGAGATCAAAGAGCAGCTGAGTGTAGCCATTGATAGGAAGGTTGATGAGGCAGTGGAAGAAAAGGTAGCCAAGATGGTTGGCAAGGAAGTCAAAAAGGAAATGAGGAAAATGAAAAAAGAGTTGCAAAAGCCAAAGAAGCAGCCACCAAAGTCCCCCCCACATCCAAAGGAGGAGCAGACACCAAAGCTCCCACATGAGGAGCAGGTTCCTCACCCTCCAAAGCCCCCTTCACCTCCAAAGAATGAGCAAACACCAGAGCTCCCAGATGAGGAGCAGGTTCCTCGCCCTCTGGAGGAACAACCCACAGAGGCAGCTCCTCCGGGTGGGGAACCAGAACCGGAACATCCCACTGAGGTCGCACCAAAGCAGGAGCCCACTGAGGCGGCGCCACAGGAGGAGCCAACTGAGGCCGCACCTCAGCCAGAAGAGCCCACTGGGCGGCGCCGCAGGAGGAGCCCACTGAGGCGGCGCCGCAGGAGGAGCCAACTGAGGCCGCACCTCAGCCAGAAGAGCCCACTGAGGCGGCGCCGCAGGAGGAGCCAACTGAGGCCGCACCTCAGCCAGAAGAGCCCACTGAGGCGGCGCCACAGGAGGAGCCAACTGAGGCCGCACCTCAGCCAGCAGAGCCCACTGAGGCTACGCCACAGGAGGAACCAACTGAGGCCGCACCTCAGCCAGAAGAGCCCACTGAGGCTGCACCCCAGGGGTTGCCCACTGAGGCTACCCCTCAGGAAGAGGAGCCTGTTGCTGAGCCCTAAGAAACTGCTGCCATTGAGAAAGCTTGTTTGCGGGTGAAAGATCTGCTGAAGAATTGTGAACCCAAAGCAAGGTACACAATGCCTGTTGGAGGCAGTTTCTGAATGGGCCACGAACAAGAGAACCTTCTATCCTAATAGACATGATCGATTTGTTACTGTACAAAAACCTGCATATGTTTGACCGTCTTTAGATATACAACGACCACATACTAAGCTGCAGCACGAAGGCAAGGGTTGGTACCCAAGGAAGGCAGCGAGCTCAGGAGCTGGTGTTGAGTTACATAGTACTGTAGGAGCTTCTTGGACTCATTCATACAAAGACAACAAGGACTAGCCATAGTTAGCATTACAACTGACAACAGTCCATATGACTGCAATTGGCCAAAATCTCCAATGCTGTATCTTTCTGTTGCTGATCGCACAAAGCCGATGGAATGGCCCCTGTCAGACTCGTCCCAGAGAGATCCAATAGGGCGAGCTCCTCCAGATGACTCCACTCGCTTGGAATAGATCCCGTCAACGCCGCATTGTTGGCAAGATCTAGAGTCTTCAAGTTGGCGAGTGTTCCTACTTCACTGGGAAGACTCCCATAAAGTTGATTGTCTGCCATGCCCAGATAGATCATGTCGGGTGTGTACGCCAGTTCGGTTCCCACATGCATGTGAAACTGATTCGACGTAATGTTCATGACTTGCAACTTGGGCATGACTCGAAAGACGGGATTGAGGTGTGCCGAAATGGCATTGCTATCCATCTTGACAATCCGGACATTAAAGGCAACAAAGCCGGCATCTCCCACCAATTGTCCTTCCAACTGATTGTTACTAATGATAAAGGCTTCCAAGTCGGTCAACTTGCTGGCCAACAGTGGCGGTGGACCATAGAGGTGATTGTCCGATACATCCATATAGCGGAGTTTGGGGTAAAAGTGTGTCAGTCCCGGCAGCAGACCGCGGAGGTTGTTGCCGTGCAAATCAAAGACCAGTAGATTTTCGTCGTCATCGCAGATTCGTGCGTCGTCGTAAATGGCGGGATATGCATTGTTATGGAGGGGATCAAAAGACGAATACCAACGGCACTCGGAAACGGTATAGTCCAACCAGTGGTCTTGATGCAACCAGTCAGGGCCACCGGTGGCATGGTAAAAGGTGACAAAGGCAAATCGTTGCCGCTGGCGTCCCTTGGAATAGCGTTCGAGATGAGGATCGTTATTCATCCAGGCATTGGCTTTGGCCGTGGGACTGTCCGGGTCTTGTTGTAGATCGGCCAGAATGTCTGCCGGAAGGTCGTCTTGAAACGGTGGGTAGTCGACTCGTTGTCGTGCGGTGGTTGTGGTTGGAGAAAGGGTGACTGCTGCGGGAATACTGCTGGGCGGGGCGCTGGTATCGTTTTTGTTTCCTTGCAAGATCAATATCATAACCATCAACACGGCAGCCCCCAGGGCCAACACCACCATGAAAAGGTACACCCACTTGGATTCCTTGGTAGAAGAGGAAGCGGAGGGATCCGAGCTACTGGGAATGGCTTTGCCTTCAATGACTTCCAAAGGAGTTCGACGTAGATGCTGGCGCGTATGGTTGCCACTGCTATTGCCCATGGCACGAGGGTCGACGCCTTCCTCGACGACATTGGCACTCAGTGCGAGCTCTTCGTCCTCCGTGGATGCATGTTGTGCTGCGGTAGAAGATATAAAGGGAGAAGACGTCTGTATTCTACTACATGTAGGTGAAGCAAAGGGCGGGCGACCACCGACGGCATGGGCTCCGGGTGTTCTTATGTCGAATCCATTGTCGTCGAGATACCGTTTTTCATTTCCATTTTGATTGCTGAGATGATGATTCGGCATGGGTTGAAGGCCTTCCATCAAGGCGTTGGCCATGTGAGATGGGATGTATGGGTCATCGTAGTAGTTGTTGCAATGAATGCTGCTAGCTGTGGATGCTCTACTGGAAAGGTCGTCGTCTTCTACAAACGGTATACTGGCAACCGTAGGCGCCATGGCAGCCATCTTGGAGGATTTGTCGCAAGCCAGCTTGGATGTGCTGCTACTAGTAGAAGAGGGAGGTTGAGCTGGAGGTGGTTTCTTGAGCTGACCATTACTAGTACTAGTATTCTCTTGCGCCGGTAGGGTAGCTGCTGCCTTTCGTTCAGAGCCACCTTGCACGGCTAAGGCTGCTTCTATTTCGTCCACATCAATCTCAACATGATGGCGGGCGCAGCTGTTCGCTTCCCGTTCACTCGAGGTTGTCATCCTGGACATGGAAATAGAAGAATCCAGTGGTGCTGAGAGAGGCAGAGTCTCTTGTTGTGGACAGGGAGCTGCAGAGCTTGGGAGAGTGGAGGTTTTGTCCATTCTGTTGGCCATGGTTGGTTGCTTGCTTGCTTTGTCTTGGACACTATGCATGCATATGCAATCGTAATCAATTAATTGTATACCCGCAGTCAAGTGGCCACTGGAGATGGAGTTGTCAGCGAGATTGCTAGTCTATGATGGCTATTAGCAGCCAGTTGGCGGTAGTCTACATGCATGCAGCAGACTGCAGAACGTTCAACAACGCACAGAACAAACCGGCCGAACCTGCCCCGCAACTTGGTTGGGTTGTTGAAGCTCAAGTGGGAGCTGATGCTAAAGGCCAAATAAAGAATGTCGCTGGGTCTTTTTACAACTGGTGTGTAATCAAGTTCTTACGTACCGGTACAGTCGTACTAAAAGAAGCGCAGTTATCCATAAGTAACATCCCAAGCAAGGCTCAAAGAGAACAATAGGAGCAGTATCAACCGTTCCATGAAGCTCCAGGGATGTCTCACAAGGTACGACTGGGTGGGAGGCTTTCTGATAAGTCAATAAGTACTTGCTGGTACGTACCAGTTCCGAGCTCCTTATACCGTACGGACGTACGGTACTCCGAACCACACCCGCCACCAACATAATATTACATATTATTATGATCTACTACTAGCTAGCTAGTAGCAGTACTCCTCGAGTACGATACCGGTACCGGCAGCTACATCGTACCTGGTACCGGTACATGTAGCTTCATGTACCGGTATGATAGAGCCACTGCAGCAAGGTGAGGAGTTGAGTTGGTGCCTATGTTACGTGAAATGCTCCCCAACAGTTCCTTCCACATCGACGATGCTGGCAAACGGAGCTGCAAGAGCTCGCTCGTCACTCGGAAGCAACAGTTCGAGTTGGGACTGGAACGTGGCTAGAACTAACTGACTGTAGTCTAGCTAGTAGAAGGAAGTCCCTGCCCATCCACCATCCACCATCCACCATCCACCATCCACCATCCAGAAACGAGCCACCAGTTAGCTAAACAATTGGTGGTTGGGCACTGCGGATATATGGAACCAAGCTAGAGGAGGGGTGAAGAACCTTTTACAGCTATCGCTGCATGCGCGTGTTGCTTCACGTCCATCCTCTTGAGTCCTCTTTGTGTCAAAAGCATCCCACTAGATCTAGCTAGCTAGAGCTCCCACTACTCGAGTACCAGGTAGCTAGCCAGCCAGCCGGATTCAGAACTCTCCGGTCTGAGCCATCTCCAGGTCACCGCTGGCCAGGACATCATACCCACACATATCCATAGGCTGTACATCATTGCTGAAATGGGCGCTACAAGCTCCGCAGCTTCCCTCGTACTGCTCTGACCTTGGCGCCTCTGCTTGCAGGAATCTTTTAGTGCTGGCATTCTGCAGGTTTGCCCATCGGATCGGCATGCTGATGAGGGGGGGCTTGGACTGTGTCAAAGAGGTTGGGTGTCTGCCACTCATTTCCATATTCATTGGGTCTTCCAGGAGCGTCTTGCCATCACGTGCAAGCATCCGCCCCGTGAACTCTTCACCCACCAGGCTCTCTGAGGTTCCAGTGTGAGATCGATGGATACCGTACCCAATCCTTGAAGGTCCTTAGCTGGTTGCTTTCAGAACCTTCCATCTGTATCTTGAAGGCATGCTTCTTATCAGTCTCCATTCCTCCTTTCTACAATAGAGCCTCATCTTCTTGGGGAGGTGGGCATCCTCGACACCATTCACCAAACAGCCCCCCCCCCCCCCAAGCTCAAACCTGCAGGATTTCATTTCCAATCTTTATGGCTGATAATACTGTACTAGTAGTTCACCATTGACCAGAAGGATGGATTAAATTTGATGTTTGTGTCTTGCATTTTCACCGCGACTTACCAAGATGTTGCTGCTTGCCAGGCACGGATGGATCCAATCTGGACTTACACCCAACATCACAAGGACATGTGCCATCAAGATCACAAAAACAGTTGCAAATTCCATGAGGGTTGCGAATCGCACTTGCGCAGGGAAAGTAATCTGGGTACTTGTTTCTTGGTCCTTGTCAATGTGGTTGTCACCTCGCTGTGAGCAGGTAGGGCTTCATTTTTAATATTGCTTCTTGCTGGCTGCAGTGAGACATCTCCAACTCACTCCCTGCCTCAGCCCATCTTGCCTGAAGGAGGCCTTCAGCAGGGTATAGTAGTCTCGGGCGGAAAGATTGGCAACTGTCTCATCGTTACATATTCGTTCATAGATATCGTGGCTAGCCTACTTGAGTTGCTGTCATGAAACCTCCCGCCCAGATGTTCGAGAGACAGCGCGTGCAGATCGATTGATGTAACACTACAGCATTTTATAATGTGAACCTTGAGCGTTCCTTGTGCTTCCAAATTGCAAGGACGCAAAACTCCAGCAGTGTTCTGGCAACTGTTTCTCGCTCGCTATTGACGTCTGCTTTTATCCTTGCGTGATGGACGAACGTCGACTACTTCCAGCCATCAGAACGGATCCTCGAGCCAATCCAGAAAAGGAGTTACTGAACGAGGAACGTCGGCCAGATGCTGACAAATCAATACCGGACAAGTCGCTCATTGGCTGTGCGGTTCCATGGCGGTAGGCTTTGAGAAGGTTAAAATCACGTGCATATCGTTTCTTGAGATTCATGATATCGCTGCGTGCCACTAGCCCTGACATGAGTGTGCAGGTTGTATCGGCACGCAAACCGACTTTTTCCATGTGCGAATCTTCCGAGTCCATAAAGAGGCGATGTTTGCCAATGAGATCACCTGCTTCCAGGTACCGAACGCATTCTCCTTCCACAAACACTTTCATTCGACCCTCTACGATCAAGGCAACCCGCGGCGGGAGCTCCTGACCCTCCTTCACGTAGTCTTCTTCTGGCAAAACAATCTTGGGCCGTGTCAAGGCAGACACAAACGATACCAAGAACTCGTGACTGCAGTAGGAAAAGGCGGAATCTCGACGACGAATTGCCTCGGCTCGATAGTACATGGACACCTCCGACTCCAAGTGGCGGGGTAGACGGGTGACTGCGTCGGGACTCTTGGGTGCACGGGTGTCTTCAGACAAGATAGTGTTTCCAGTTCCTTTGCCTCCAATCAACTTCTTCATCATGTAGCCCTCCAAGATGCGCTTTTGGATATCTTCGGGGACATGGCAGTTCTGCATGAAATGACCAACTGTCGAAAATCAAGAAGGAGCAGCATCGAGTTGAAACCAAAGGTCAGATCGATGATTAAAAAGATTGTTTACAGGTCATAGCACGATACACAAGAACAACGTACGTTCTGCCAAATCACCTCCCGTCTCATTGCGCTTTGCTGACATGCCCTCCAAGATGTTGACGACGTTACCTGTTGTAATGGTGTAGAGTGTGGCTCCACACATGTGAACAAACAACGTGGACAGACATTCCAAAGTGGTTTCGGGAGTCGACTCGACGTCCCCGATTCCTGCCAAGTTGACCCATGCCCAATGCACGGCGTGCAAATAAGCATTGAGAACCGAGAGTTGTTTGACCCCTGGGGCTCCATAAATTTCATGAGCCTTGGGAAAGAAGGGAGTTGCGGCAACGACGTTACCCATTTCCATTCGAGCGACCAGACACCACAAGCAAGCGTTGATGTGGATGACCAGCAACATTGTCGTGACCAATTTTGCCATTCGAATAGCCGCCAACTCTTCATTGTCAATGTGTCGTTTGCGCAACAGATAGTTGTTTTCGGCACAAGTGGCTGCATGAAAGACGCGAGTCGCCGCCACGAGGCGTAGCAACCCAAAGGCATATGTCCAGTGAACACCGACCGCTGCAGAGCCCACAGTGCCCAACAAAAAGTGCCCAGCGTATTGGAGTGGGAAACTGAGCAACACAATGGCTTCCATTTTTTGCCACTGTACCCAGCGATCCATTTGCAGCGCGCGCAAGAAACGAATGGTGCGATACTTGATGGGGAATAGCATGTGGTCCAATGTTTGACGGAGTTTGCTTCGTTTGGACAGGTCCGGAGCGTACCCCTTGGGACGAACTTGATTGGCAATCCAATGACTGCTCATGTCAATGGCCAAAATGATGGCCGCAATGGCCGTAAACACATGGGCCAAAAAGTCCAAGCGACGATTGCTGGCAGTCAATGCAGTCAATTGAAGGGGCGTCACAATGGTGAGGTAACCACAGGCCGCAGTGGCGACGGTTCCCCATCCTTCCAACGGTTCCATCTGAAGAACATTATTGGGATTTTTCATGACTTGCGTGAGAGATCGGTAGACAATCTCCCAGGCAGCACGAGTGTCTTCGTCAAAATTCTCGGGCCCAACATGTTCTGCAATTGCTTCCATGAGGTGCTTGTAGACGGCATCGTAATGAAAGGCTTGTACACCAATGGACCCGTGCATCTTTCCGAGCGACCGTAGTGTGGGAATGAGATCAGGCAAGTGGGACAACCCAGCCACGCAGACACCGACGGTTTCCATGACTGTCTTGGCATGGATAGCCAAAGATCGGGGAACGCTTCCTTTGTCTCCCTTTTGCTGTTCTTTGTCCAAAACACCGCCAAATTTAAAGAGCCCCATGGTCTGAGGATGCTCGTCAAAGAGGCGCAAGAAAAAGTCGACTCCAACTTCTTCCGTGTGACCCTTGACCAGGTCCCAACTCACCGTGACACGGTACGCGATGCTCTCGGGAAGGGACGTGGATGCCGAGATGACAGACACGTTCGAGTTGGTACGGACGAGATGCGCTCTTCGGTTGGTAGTCCTCTTTTTGCTGCTGGCGCCCATCATACTGGCTTCCATGTCGATCGACACGGATTTTTTCGCCTTGAAATTGACGGCGGGGTCCACAGAGTCGTCATCGGACGACTTGAGCGATGTTTTCAGCTTGACGGGGGGATCATCCTTGGCCGTCTTGAGATCGATCGATACGTCATCGGACGAGTGAGAGTCATCATCAGAGTCTTCCTTGGAACTGGAAACATCCAGTCCTTGAGAGGACATGCTGGTCTCTTCAGGTTCTTCGTGGTTCGACAGGTCAAGATCGTCTCCTGATGCTGCTACTGCTGCCGCCGCTGCTGCCATGGCCTTCATGAGAAAACAATGAAAAAACTGGGGGTGATGGTCTGTCTGGTGGCTGTGTTTCTACGATGACTGACACTCAATCGAAATTGATGTGTGCTTAGACGAAAAAGATTTTGTGGCTGTCTTTTGGAAGCCCACCGACTTCACCTACCTGGAAGGGTCATTAGGTCATCTACATTAACTATTTGTCATCTCCAGTGACGAACCAGACAACCTGTCTGATTAGGATTTAGCGCAGTACCGTTTTGAGATGGCCAGCAAAACTCATCCATTTAAAGCGTAATGCTCCAAAAGGTCACCTGCTGTTCTCACCAGCCTTCCGCATTGAGCCACTCGGAGAAACTCATCGGCTAAGTACCGGTACCGGTACCACTTTGGCAACTGTATTACGGTACACACGTATGGGTACCGTTGATCCTCAAAGCTCCAAGCACCGAGTCAGAGTCAAGTGACAGTGTATGGTACAGTATGTTGTATGGATGGTGCGGTGATCTAGCCATCACGCCTCACGTCATCTCGCATCAGGATCTGGATTCAGATGGTTGTCACATTGGCCTTTCTCCGGATTGGCGGCACATGTATCCTCATCGTCAGGAATCCTAGTACAGCACTAGTACTCGCAAGATGTGTCTGACGACTTTTTGCATCATGGATGTTTCTGGCACTGTGTCGTTGTGAAGGGACCTACAGTGTTCCCAGCACTGAAGCAAGCGGAAGCGGCAACGAAATCCAAGAATTGGACTGCCTGATGAACAGGACAATGTCTTGCTGTAGATTAGACTGGCTGTACCGGTACCGGTGCTTCCGTGCCAAGGTAATAACTGGCTAGGAAGATTTATTGCAAAAGCACGGGAGTCCTGTTGGCTGCTTCTGGACAGAATGATGACCCCCAGAGAGTCTAGTGCAAAAGTTGCTATCTGGATACTCTGTTAGGTGGCACAGCTACATGTACATTATAACATAGCAACCGTCTTCCCCTGTGTCGGCAAGCTTGATGGCGGCTAAGCTTCTGGCTCCTCCTCTGCAAAGTCAGCAAGATTCAGTGGCAACTGTCCACGCGAGCGATCCATGCGCCTTCTTCTCTGCTGTTGGGAAGAGCTCGGTC